CATAGGGAGCTGACTTCTGACTGGGAATTGTGGGGGGCTACTCTGACTCTGGGTACACCTCAGGTCTCAGCTTGGTTCTGGCAGCACCAGTGTTTGGAAGGTGCCCAGAGGTGGGAGGAAGAACTAACTTCGCTGAATGCTCTTCTGAACCTTTTGAACTTTTTAAAACCATGTGAATACATTGCTTTTGAAAATATTTTAATTAAAAAAATATGAACACTGCCCGGCCGGGCGTGGCTCAGCGGTTGAGCATTGACCTGGGATCCAGGAGATCGCGGTTCGATTCCCGGTCAGGGCACGTGCCTGGTTTGCGGGCTCCATCCCCAGTCAGGGACGTGCAGGAGGCAGCCGATCAATGACTCATCATTGATGTTTCTCTCTCTCTCTGTGAAATCAATAAAGATATATTTTTAAAATGTATATATAAAAAATAAATAAAAATTTGAGACGTAAGTGACATGTAACGCCTGTTAGTTTCGCGTGTCCAACAGCACGATGCAGCACAGGCGGGCACCGCTGGGAGCGCAGGCGGCCGGTTGGTGTTAACAGGAGGGGGCAGAGGGGAGCGGGCGTCAGCCAAAGAAACCGGGGAGCGGGGCCGACAAGCAGCTCTCAGCACCCCGCCCTCAGGACCTAATCCCCAAGCGGGCAGGAGGGTCATTACTGGTCACTAGCCAGGCTTTCCTTGAGAGTAATAAAACAATAAAGGGAAATGCCTTTGCTGGATGGATGTGCAGNTTTTAAAATATATATATATATATATATATATATATATATATATATATATATATGAACATATCTTTTCCTTCTGGCAATAATGAATCATTTACTTCTGTTAGGTCACTAACAGTCAGGCACCACCTCATTGGAGCTACTTTCAGAGGAACACCCCAGAGTCAGAAAATGTTAGAACTGAAAGGAGGGTGAGAGTCACCAAGTCTCATTCTATGGTTGACAAAAGTAAAATCCAAAGAACTCTAGTGACTTGGCCAAGATCACACAGCTCTTTATCTTCCTATTTATTCTTTCTCTTTTTACCTTAAAATTTCTAGTGATGGCAGTGGGGGAGAAGTCTCATGGGCTGCCTGATGGAAGCTTGAGGATGTTTTCTGAGGGTCTTCTAAGGAAAAACATGCCCAGCTTTTACCCCCTCTCCCTCACCTCCAGTCCGCTCCTCGTTCCACACCCAACCAGGCTGATCTATGACTGAGCGATTGATGACATATTCCCACCCTTTTTTCTTTAGTTGGTCCCAATTCTTTCAAAGAATCTGTGAGATGAAGCAAGGGGGGACAGTGGGTTGGGGCTAGATTCTTAGCTCACACTTCCCATCCCTCCTCAGACAGCCCCTCTTTGTTTCTGGGGTACAGATCAAGGAGAAGCGGGAAGTCAGCTTTTTCCAAATAGTCTCAACCATCATTTCAGAGGCTGCTTCCTTTGACTTTGCCTCTGTTGTGCACCATCAACAAAGCTGAACTCCTGGCAGGAAGGGTTGAACTTGATGCAAGAAGGTTGCCTAGGTGCTGGGGTGGTTTGGCACCACCAAAGGATTGATTGCGAGTTGGAGAATTGTCACCATCTGGTCATGAGGGTACTGGTTGGCCATTTGGGGAAACAGGATATTCCTTGTGTTGGGGGGGCACAACAGCTTCTTTGTGGGGGGTGGAGGTGGCATTAAAGAAGATGGGGGAGAGGAAGAGGGTCAGTCTGTGTGTCCCATAAAGGTTCCAATGATTCACTTAGTTTTGGTAGAAAGCAGACACTGGGATGGCAGGAGAAAGTGAGCAGGGAGTTCTTAACTGTTTACAATGAAACAAATGTCCTCTGGTGTTTTTCTGTGGACAAAATGTGCAGCCCATCCTGAGACAGACAACATGCTCCCCCCACGTGGTCAGCAAGTGCACAGATCAAGGTTCTGAAGCTGAACTTTCTCACCACGCAAGAGATAAGTCAGCCATTTTCACTGCTGACAATGATTAACCCGTCTCTCCCTTCACCTGCTTTCCCCAACATAGTTTTGTAAAAAATGAACAGGGTCACTCACTCACTTAAAAAAGGTGACAGCAGTTGATCTAGCCAATTTCTCTTGTCTACCCCTAAATACCTCCCCCACTGATCAAATGTCGGGGGGGAGACACCAAAAAAGAAAATAAAAAACTGTACATCTTGCAGTTTGGGCTGTAACCCTTCGAAGAAATCTCCCCCACTGCTCAGATGAAGCCTTGGCTTGAAGCTGGGTTTTGCATCCTTGATGCAATGTGCAGACAAAACCCATTCTAATGATCGTAGCTGAGCAAAAAGGCAGCTCCTCTCTCAGTAGAACCCAGAGCCCCAGCCAGAATAGAGGATTTGGCTGCAGGGGAAGTCAGAATTTCTTTTTGGTAATAAAAGCAATTTTTGGATGAGGTGTGTGGTAAATTATGACTCCTTCCCCTCTTTGCTCCCCTGTTAGCAAATAAACTTGTCTGAGTGAATGAGTCAGCCTTGCTCTAGGAGGAGACGGTGCCAGGGCACAGGAACCAGCTGCACTTATTTAGCAGCAGACCAGACTGTACTTTCTGGCACCTTCCTTCATGTTCTTCCCAAACCAAGATCCCAAGCCTCTGGGTTTCTGTTTGTGGAGAAAATGCAGGAGGAGTGCCCAACTAGTGATTCTGTGGAGCCCATCTAACTTTCCATCTTCATTGCGTCCCAGACTCTGCTGGTCGTTTTCCCAGAGGCCGTCAGTAAGCCCTGAGTCATCTCCGCCTGGTACAAAATAATAGGGAGCTCACTGATATTTGTACATATGGGTTCAGTTTCCATCGAAGGATCCCCCGATTGACATAGTGAGTTGTGTGAATATCTAACCTCCCTGCCCCACTTGAGTGTCAAGGTCCCAGAGGACAACCAAGATTTAACTTTGAATTCCTCGTAGAGCCAGGCATGGGGCTTAGCTCAGGAAATGTTTGTTGAATTTAACTGGAGAACTTCTTGAAAGGGAAGATGACAGGAGTTAGAAGGAGATGATGGAATCCCTTCTATCGAAACCTCCAGCAATTCAAGTGCTTCATCCACATTATATCGAACATCTGCAAGTGCTTTGAGCATCTGAGGGCTCCACAGTTTCTCTCTTCAGTCAGCTTTCTAGGAGGCTCAGGTCTTTTGGGGCCCCCTTTCTTTCTGCACATGATAAAAATTGGCTGGAGACAGCAGGAAGGGGTTAGGAGGTAGAAAGGTAGAGACTAGCAAATAGTCTCATGCTGATATCCAATTGCTCTGTCCAAGAGGGTCCCCCTGTCAGGCAGGCTGCCTGCCAGAGGGACTCCTCTGCCCTGTGCAGATATGAGCTCCACTGACTCCTTATCAACACAAGCATTCTCCCTGAGGCTCCTCCAGAAGATAGGGCTCTCCGCTGGGCCCCCCATGTGCTGAGGGAACCCTGCCTGACTCAGAGATTCTGGCTCCTAGCAGCTCTGCGAAGAACCAGATAGTGGCCTTTGAATATTTTGTCAGAGGATCTGCCCTGTTTGCCCTCGACTCACCTCACCTCATAGAAACTTTAGTCCCCGGGGATCACAACAGTAGTTACTCAATACTTTCGAGGAAGGCTTATCTGGGTGGCGGGAAGAAACTATCTCTTCTAGGGGGGCCCACTAGCAATCATGTCAGTTCAGAGCACCCTTCCTCACAGCACTGCCAATACCTGCTTTATTTGCAGCCCACCCACAGCCACCACCATTACCTCCCCGGGCTAGGCCTGGAGGGGTTGGGCTGCTTGGACCGGCAGCGACAATGTGGTCCAGGGCAGCTGGAGTCTGCTTGAGCTGGGCGGGAGCTCATGGGGTGGGGATGAGACGCCAGGCCATATTTCCTGGGTGATGCTTTAATCACTTTGCAGCATGGGATGCTGGGAAATTCAGGTGGATATTTTAAAGTTTTATTCCCACTAGCTCTTACCGTTGAAAAATACATCAGCTCACAGCCTGATTCGGCCTCTGCTTCCTTCAGAGCCCTTTGGTCTCTGCGCTGCCGCAGGTGATTTCTGCCTGTGTAGGTGAGGAGGCAGCCTTGCTTCTCATGCCTGGGCATTTGTTACTTTTATTTATTCCTTGGCTATATCCATGGCTATAATAAAAATGTATTGACTTTCTGATCAATATAAATATCTCCAAGTACAAATGAAAGACCAAACTTCAGAAGCCCTTTCCAGAGTCCCCAGGCACCAATTTGTTGGTATTTTTATTTAGAATTAGATAGCAATCATATTGTTTTTGCATGAACATACATTCATTTTATTGCTTAAACTTGTGCGTTAAATTCTAAAGGTTCTAACTCTAAGGGCATTAAATTAATTAATTACTTAATCAGTGCATTCAAAGATGATTATTTTCTGGCCCTGAGCTACGGAGCCATATGGGAAGAGGGATTGAGCTCCCAAACCAGAGGCATTTCCCAGACCCTAATGCAGTTAAGAAAGGCCCAGCAAGGTGACAGTACCCAGTACAAGAGAATTTACTATCTTCTAAATTAATAACTTAAAACTTGAATCGCTAGGGCACCAAGACTTTTCTTTGTCTTCAAATACATGCAGTTGCAGACTTAGGAAATCAGGCATCTTTGCAAGAACTGTAGCGATTTAGACTCTGTCCTGTGTCTCTGGCTGGGTTTCAGAGCCAGGAGGGCAGCCCCTGGCACTATCAAGCGGCATGCCAAAGTTAATAATTGGCCCTGCAGAGTCCATGGCCGATCAGGCTGTTTTTGTGTGCCTGGTTTTCTATTTTACGTAAATCACCCTGAACATGTTTGCATCAACCTACTGATGATGCACCTTTGATCAATAGATTTTAGACAAAAGTGGTTTCTGAGTCCAAAGATCAGGGCTGGGTTGACCTGCAGACTGGTTACAGGGCGTATAAAACAGGCAAGACGCAAGCTGATAGCAGAGCTATCGCCACCAAGTCTGCAAGGGCTCGGCTGACGGCTCCCTGGGGGGCCAGGGAGGGGGCACGGAGGAAAGCATGGATGCCCTCCATGACTTCGGGATCCGGTCAACACGCTACCTCCAGGTGAATTACCAGGACGCCCAGGACTGGTTCCTCCTGGTCTCCGCGATCGCGGACCTCAGGAACGCCTACTATGTCCTGTTCCCCATCTGGTTCCACATTCGAGAGGCCGTGGGCATCCAGCTGCTCTGGGTAGCCGTGATTGGAGACTGGCTCAACCTCATCTTCAAGTGGTGAGTAAGAGCCAGACAGAGAGGAGACTGGCAAGGAAAGAGGCTGGCATTCTTTCTGGAAATGTCTGTCCACTGGAAGTTGCCTTCTCCATGCTCTTCAGGAAGCCACTTGTTACTCCCCTCCTGACTTTCCATCAGCTACATAAAGAGAGAAGACGGAGAAAAACCTGGTCAGTGAGTGGAAGATACAGGAAAGGCTGTTTCATATGGATGGAAGGCCAGCTGGATTTAGTGAAAATCTGGATGATAGGCTGTAAGCCAAGAAACAGTTTTGCTACTTGGCAGCAGAATAGGGAACATAAAGGTAGATGTACGAAAGAAGAAAAATGATGTATGAAAAAAGGAAACACATAAATAATTTTAAAACCTGTTGTGTGGGGTAGTGAGAAGGGATCCAGAGGACTGGGCTCCATCCAGGCTTTGTTCAGCCTACCAGCTGCATGTCCTTGGGCAAGTGATAGCAACTCTCTGAGTTTCTGTTTTATAATCTGTAAACTTAGGTTATCTCTGGGACCTTAATAATAATTCTAGTTAACAGTTATTGAACATTTAGTATGTCCCAGGCCATGTGCTAAGTGTTTTTCTGGAGGCAGTTACTGTATTACAGATGAAGAGACTGCATCTAGACCAGCGTGGGTAGTAAATGTCAGAGGCAGGATTTAAACTCAGGCAGGCTGGCTTCCCCTGCCTGGCTCTGAAGAACCATGTTATATCCGGTGCTGACAAACTGACTCTTGGGTGGGGTAGAGCGAGAACCCTGATTTTAACATTTGCCTATTTCTACTATTTACACATCCCCATTATGGCCACTTTCAAGCTACTGATGGGTTCAACTTGCAAAAATCCTGAATATTTTACAATTGTTAGCCAGTACCAGCTGACTTTAGCACATTACTGGTTTGACTTCAGTTTCCTAATCTGGAAAATGAAGAGTTGGACCAGCTGCCCTCTAAGAACTTTATCACCCCTAAAGCTATCTATGACTATTATTAGACGATTCTTACATCTTTTTCAGTTCTAATATCCTCTGACCATAAACAATAAAAGTCCTTTAGAACAGAAAAAAATTCTCGGACTCAGAAGCCCAAGACATATTGATGGGATTCTGAAAATCCTGTTGAAAAATCTACTAAGTTTTGTCTGTAACATCCCCTATTCAACAGCATGACCCTAAAAATGAAAAGATAAATGGTTATTCCAAACATCGGACCTCAATTAAAGAATGATGGCTTTTCTCTGAATTGATCAAGGTGAGAATTAGTGGCTGTCCCTGATTTTGGTGAATGATTAATCACTATTCCACCACCACAGTGAAAAGGAGGCATGCAGCCTGATCTCTGACACCTGTTTCCAGAATGAAAGACATATCTAGTCTTTTTAAAAGGGAAGTGGTTTGGCCCTGACTGGTGTAACTCAGGTGGTTGGAGTGTCATCCTGTGCACCGAAGGATCACCAGTTCAATCCCAGGTTGGGGTGCCTAAGTAAAGGAGGCAACCGATCGCTGTTTCTCTCTCTCTCAAATCTTTTGTTTTTTAAAGGGAGCATATCCTCAGGTAAGGATTAAGAAAAAAAACAAAATAAAAGGGAAGTGGTTTGTCCGAGATACCCTATTAAATGGTTTGTCTGAGATATCCTGTTTCACAGCAGAGAGGATACAGAGCAAGCACCTAAAGCTGTGTATGTCCTTACGGCAAGTTATTCTGAGGCCTAAAGAAAGAGAAGAGGGACCTGTTAGGATACACAAATTCAAGTTGCAAACTGTAGCTCCACATGCATCTTTCCAGGGCAAATTCTTCTTGGGGTTTAAAAAAGTCACATAGCTGGCCATGAACTTGGATTTTTGGATCTTGGGTTTATTTATTTATGTTTGAATAAATAATACATTCAAGTAGTTCAAAATGCAAAAATTATATAAAAGATGTACCATAAAAGTCTCCTTCCCCCGCCTCTTCCCAGCCACCCAGTCCCCTTTCTTGGTGGTGGCCAATCTACTTGGATCTTCTGAAGCTACTCTCTCTTCTGAAAGGTGTGGGCTTCTGGCAAAAGGGTTCCTTCAGTAACTCCAGACCCCGGTCCCGCTTTTCCACAGGATTCTCTTTGGGCAGCGCCCATACTGGTGGGTCCTGGACACCGACTACTACAGCAATACCTCCGCGCCACTGATAAAGCAGTTCCCAGTCACCTGCGAGACTGGACCAGGTAAGAGTCCCACCCTCTGTAGAGACAGAAGCTGGGTGGACTGCTCCTGTGGACGCCTATTAACATTCGTTGTGGGTGAAGCTGTCTTTGAGGGGACATGAAGAGAGCCATTCCTTTGCGCTCTTTCTCACGGTCTTCAATTTGATACAATTCTGTGTTAATTGACTTCAAGAAGGCCTCCCTGAATCTCATCTTGCTGCTACTTCATAAATCTGCCCAATGTCTCCAGAAATTTAATTGCTGATCCAGAGAGGCAAGCACCCTCATGGGCAAAGGGCTCATGAGAGTTTGTGTGCTATGGCCCTTTGTCCGGGGAAGGTTAAGCCCTAGAGGCCTGAGGCCCTCACTGTCCCCAGTGGCCTGGCCGTCCAAGCCCACACCCTGCCTGTATTTTGCTAGTTACAGCCATACTGGTATTGTTCAATCAAATGACAGGTTTTGTTTTTCAGTAGGTAATCGGAATACCCAACCCCTTCGCTCACCTTAGGTCTTGCTCACTCTTAGGAAGGGTGCTGGCATCCCTTCCTCAGGGACCCTATCCCTGACCCCCAAACTAGGGCATGGCTCATAGTTATTGGTTCTCACAACCCTTTGTTCACTTCAGACCACATTCATTCATTCAGGTGTTATTTACTGAGCACCTACTGTGTGCCAGACACTATTCTAGGAACTTGGAATACCTTGGTGAGTAAAACAAAGACCTCTGCTCTCGTGGAGCTGATATTTTAATGGTGTGTGTGTGCGCATGCGCGCACATGCAATATACAAAATCCTAACGCACAAGTAAAATATGTAGAATATTAGAAGATGATCATTTAGAAGAGGAAGGGGGAGGAAGTGAAGGGTAGGAGGAGGAGAATAGACAAGGCTTTGCCTATGGGGTTTCCTGGAAAGCACACTCAGAGGGAGATGAGCATGCAGGAGTTCAGCTACTGTCAGGAGCAACACTATGGAAGGAAGACAGAAGCCACCTGGGCAGAAGTGTAGTTGTGACTCAGCCTCAGCCAACTCCACAGGGAGCTCTGCAGCTGGGGATGGCCCTTCAGAGTTGCCTGAATTGGGTCAGGAGGACCAGGTCCTTATACTCCAATATAGACCAGTGATTGGGCACAGGCTACCCCCAGGGACAGGGTAACCCTGATCAAGATGGCTCTCTTCAGCCCAAGGCAATGCCCAGAGAAGGCTGAGAGCTAAGGCCCGTCTGTGACCACACTCTCAATAGCTGGACAAATAAGTCCTCTACCCAGAAGGGAATCTGGTTGGAGGTTGGCACATCTCAGGACCCTCTATGTCTTGGAGTAAAGGGATCAGGAATGGGAACCAGTTGCAGAATTAAGTAGTGTGGTCAGAGTAGGACTCAGAGAAGGTGAGATTTGAGCAAAAACTTGAAGGAGGCAAGGGAATTAGCCAATAAATTCTGGAGGAAGAGTTGTCTAACCAGAAAGACTAACAATGCCCAGTCCCTGAGGTGGGAGCATGTTTAAAGGAAAGCAATGAGGCTAACTTGAGTGGAGCAGACGGTGCAAGAAGAGAGTGAAAGAGAGGAAATGGAGAACAAATCAGTTTGTAATTATACATCCAGTGCTCTGATTCTTTGTGTAATCTCTAGACTGTATATAAGAGCTGGGTCTTCTCCGGTTTTGCTCACCACTGCACTCCCAGAGCCTAGCACAGTGCAGGGCATGTAATAGGAGCTCGATAGATACTTGTTAAATAGGTGACTAAATGGATAAGTGAGTGGATGGCAGGATGGGTGGATGAATGGAAGGATGGATGGATGGATGGATGGATGGATGGATGGATGGACTGACAGACAGATGGACAGATGGCACCCACTAGCATTATCCCAGATGGCGACTTCAACCTTTAGGTCATTCATTCATCTCTTCCCTGCCCTTTAGGGAGCCCCTCTGGCCATGCCATGGGTACAGCAGGTGTATACTATGTGATGGTCACGTCCGCCCTCTCTATCTTTCGGGGAAAGAAAAAGCCGACCTACAGGTTTCGGTAAGAACTCAGCGCTGGGGCGTGGGTAGTGGAGAGCAGGAGGTGGGTTTCTCTGTAGCTGACACGCCCCTTGCCCCCCTCGCATGCCCCGGCCCGTCCTACACTTTGGGTTCGCACTGATAAGCGTTGTGGCGTGTCTGCTGAGGGCGAAGATTAAAGTCACAGTGTTAGGGCTGGAAGAGACCCACAAGCGCGCACCCTAGTTGTAGAGATAGGGAAACAAGCCCTAACATGGTAAAGGGGCTTCTCGGGATCACGTAGTTAGGTAGTGGCAAGATTTATATAAAGACCCATTTCTGTACCAACCGTAGAGTCATCCCATCCAGGTTAAAATAAACAGAGAAACATGACATTCCTACTACAGGGAATCCTAGGTATGCAGCTTCTGTGCAAATCAACTTCTCTGGGCATTGCCTTGGGCATTAATTTACAAACATTCCCTGGTGTCACCCAAGTTTGCCAGGCTTCAACCCTGCTGCTGAAGCAGTTCTCCCTGCTGAAGGACCTGTGTCTGGGCTCTGTTATGGCTGTCCCTTCTGTTGCAGGTGTCTGAACGTCATTTTGTGGCTGGGATTCTGGGCTGTGCAGCTGAACGTCTGTTTGTCACGAATCTACCTTGCTGCCCATTTCCCCCATCAGGTTGTGGCTGGAGTCTTGTCAGGTATCAGCTGTTCTGGCTCCCTCCCTGCCTCCGTCCCCCGTGTGTCCCATTTCTCCCCATTTCTCCCTAATCAGGACACAATCCCGGCATGCCAGCCATGTTCTGTAGTTACCAATGCTGTTAGCATTTTAGTGGGTTGAAAGTCAAGCGTGGACAATTTGAAATGATTAATTTCTATGAGAGTGCCCAGATCTACACAATGAAGTGTGTTCCAGAAAAGTTGCATTACACCAAAGTACTTAACCAATAAATTAGCCTGAAATCTCTCAGCTTTTAACATTCTTTATTTCTTACTGATCTTCAATTGGGAGTGGCTTCTAGTTTAATTTTAAGGGAATCTACCAAATTTAACAAATTAACACAGTGTCCTAAGAAAGCTCTTTATTTAAATTCATTTGCAAACCTTAATAGATACCCACAGTTGGTCTTTTTTATAGGTTCAGAGTTTCGAATATTTGCATTTTCTTAGATCCAGTTAGTAAGGGGCAGAAAAGATTCAGGTTAAGTGTAGAAAGAATTTCTTGACTTTGTGGGAGGCAATAGAATATAAAATCTTAGGGAAATTGTGTGAATTTTCCCCCTGGAGATCTGTAAGAGCAGAAAACAGTGCTGAAACGAGAGATAATGATTTCATGGCAGCTACAAAAGTGACACAGCACTCAGTACTGGGCTCCATGCTTGAGAAGGAGACTGGAAGCCATGTTACATGTAAGACTACCTTCAAATGTGTTAAAGAGGCTCTAGATTTACAACTTAACTCCTGCAGGAAGAACTGAGATCAACAGATGGCATTAGAGGGGGACAGACTTCATTTAGCTCAGCAAAAGAAAGGACGTTTTAATAATCTAACCCATTCATGCCCGGCTGGTGTGGCTCTGCAGTTGAGCATCGACTCGTGAACCAAGAGGTCACTGGTTCAATTCCTGGTCAGGGCACATGCCCGGGTTGCAGGCTTTGTCCCCAGTAGGGGGCGTGCAGGAGGCAGCCGATCCATGTTTCTATGTCTCTATTCTTCTCCATTCCTCTCTTTCTAAAATCAATTTAAAAAAATTTTTTTAAATAATCAAATCCATTCAAAGATGAAATGGGCTGCCCAAGTGGGAGTGAGCTCTCCACCTCTGAGGATATTCAACTAGAGACATGAGGACCCCCAACAGGAAACATGCAGGCGGTAGGAGGATGTATGTGACATGACTCTTGCATCTGAAAGAGTCTATGGCTGAGGAAAGGCTGGAATCACATACGGAAATAAACCAGGTGGCCCTCTAATCTAGCATCTGTGATTTAATAGGTGACAGATGACATGTCACCCAACCCACCTCTAGCTGAAGGCCTAGAGTCACTCCTGTTTCTCACCGTCATTCTTCCTTCCGCCCAGGCATTGCTGTTGCTGAAACTTTCCGCCACATCCAGGGCATCTACCACGCCAGTCTCAAGAAATATTTCTTCATTACTTTCTTCCTGTTCAGCTTTGCCATTGGATTCTACCTGCTGCTGAAGGCGCTAGGTGTAGACCTCTTGTGGACTCTGGAGAAAGCCAAGAGGTGGTGTGAGCGGCCAGAGTGGGTCCACATTGACACCACGCCCTTTGCCAGCCTCCTGAAGAACCTGGGGACCCTCTTCGGCCTGGGGCTGGCTCTCAACTCCAGCCTGTACAGGGAGGGCTGCAAGGGTCAGCTGAGCAAGCGGTTCCCGTTCCGCCTCAGCTGCATCGCGGCCTCCCTGGTCCTCCTGCACCTCTTTGACTCTTTGAAACCCCCCTCCCAGATCGAGCTGGCCTTCTACGCCCTGTCCTTCTGCAAGAGCGCGGCAGTGCCCCTGGCCTCTGTCAGTCTCATCCCTTACTGCCTCGCCCGGGGCCTGGGCCAGCAAGGCAAGAAGTCTTTGTAAGGAATGGGGAGCCTTCGGGATTTAAAGCCAATGACCGTGCCAAGGACTGAGGGCAACCGGCGTCTTCTGCCAGCCCGCTTTGAGGCCAGAAGTGCCAGAGTCAGCTTGGGTGACCCCTGTCCTCCTCTGCAGTTCCGACTGGATTGGGGGGTGTTTTCTGGAAAGCTAACACGGGTATTGGAGAAAGCCTTGTCTGTTAGAAGGTGGGTAGCTCTGGGTTCTGTCCTGAAGACTTACTTGTTCCGTCAGATGTACGAAAGGGAGACTTCGAGGTAGGGAACCCCACCTGAGAATGTTCTCCCCGTGCTCGTTCCTACCCAGAAGAGGAGATAGGGAAGTGGATTTGGCAGGGAAAGGAGGGTGGATTAAAAGGGATTTTTTAGTATCTTGACCATCACGCAAATTATGTCCAACAACACCTAACTGGCTTGGATTGTACTTACACCTTTAGGAAGGAGACTCTCAATAGTGGGGGGCCAGCCTAAGGTGTAATCAGCAGGTGGTTAGTGGGCCGATTCTGCATCTTGTGTTTTTCTATCATATATCCGTGGTCGTTGTATTTACTAGGATTTCTGCATGGCTGCAGCGACCTGGATTTGTACTAAGTCAGAGCATTCAGGCACAGTCAGCTTCTTCTCTGTCACCCTAGAGCTCCCTCCCTTATTAGCTCAGCTCTGCTTTCCCCAGAAATTTCCACTGGCTCCACACCCGCCCTGCTGGATGCTCAGACGCTGAAAGGTGACTCTGTGCTGGTGCTTTTGTTATGTTTCAGTTAAGCTCTGGAATCTTGGGCAAAAAGAGGGCAAGGAGAGGCAAGGATTCCCCTCTCCAGAAGGTCACTCCAATGTTACTTTTGATTCCTGAGGGTGCATTAGCCAGTTGGGCTCAGTGGTTAGAGCGTTGGTCTTTGAACTGAAGGGTCTTGGGTTCGATTCCGGTCAAGGGTATGTACCTGGATTCCTGAGGGTAACCATGACAACTTTCTCTATCCCAAGCCAACCAAGAGCACATTCTGGGAGGGAAAGCCTCTTTGCCTGTTCTCCAGTCTCAGCTGATTTGCAGAATATGTTCTAAAAAAAAAACATGCTGAAGCCTATTTATTTGAGAGACCTTGTTTTTGCTACTAATTATGTAGTTCACCATATATTATCATTCACACCAACCTTCCTGGTCATGACATCTTTGAAAAGAAAAGTATATATGTGCAGTATTTTATTAAAACAGCATTTTATTTAAGAATGAAGTCTTGTTGATTACTATATTTTAGATGCAATGAGATCTGAAGCTTCTAATTCTGGCTCGGCTAAATTTCTAGCTCTTTCTCTGTTTCCCTAAACAAATGCTTTAGTTTCTGTGTTTTCCCTTTGGAGAAAAAAGGTGCTTTATGTTGAGTTGATCAGGAGTCCCAGTTGAGTTGGGGAGACTTATAAAGTGTCCATGGGGCACAGGTAGAGTTGAGTGCAATATCTTTCGCCAAGATTGAACATTAGTTATCAGAACACAGGTCAGCCTGAGTTGCTCTAGGGGATCAAACCAACTTGGGGGCAGACAAGCAGGGTCATTACCAAACTAAACATTCAGGGAATGTAAGTTGTAGCAATAGAACGAGACTGGGCAGACTCTGGAATCCATAACCTGGCGTCAGCAAGATTTGGGGTTATAGTTAAAGAAAGTCTTCAGGACAGGTCATAGCTCCAAGGAGTGCTCAAGGGAGCTATTGCAAGTTTCCCTGCTGAATGATTTACTTCACCCTGGGTCCAAAGGCCTTGACTCACCAGCATAACCCTGGATCTACTGAGGGTGAGATCTTCTCACTCATCTCAGAACTTTGAAATGTATTTATTTAGGGAAAGTTGAGTCTCCCTACTGAATTTGTCTTTTTCAGGGGAACCAGGCTTCAAGAGACTCTAATGGTCTCATCAAGGGAGAAGGGAAATGTCTTGTTCTATCTGAATTGAACCCTAGTGCTTAGGCAGGGACCCCCATCCTTAATGTTTATTTGCTCTCAGGGACCAAGTCCAGGCTCCTTGCAATGAGATTCTGGCACAAAGTAAATAGTGCCTCTGCCCCCGACAGTTGGTGAGATTGATAAGGCCTCACAATAACAAATTAAATGTATTGAGTGCTTACTACATGCAGGCTCTGTTCTATGCATTTTATTTATTTATACAGTTAACTCACTTAATTCTCCTGACATCTCTGTGCGGTGGGTGCTATAGTTTACCCTCAAATTACATATGAACAGACTTAGAGGGGTTAGGTGCCTTGCCCAGAACTGTGAAGCCAGTTTAAAAACCAGTCACTCAGCCCTAGCCGGTTTGACTCAGTGGTTAGAGTGTCAGCCTGCAAACTAAAGGGTTCAATTCTGGCCAAGGGCACATGAGCTTCGGTTGCAGGCTCAATCCCTGGCCCTAGTTGGAGCTCGTGCAAGAGGCAGCCAAGAGATGTGTCTCTCTCACATCAATGTTTCTCTCTCTCTCTCTCTCTCTTTCTTTCTCTCTCTCTCTTTCACTCTCTCTCCCTTCCTCTCTCTCTGAAAAACAATGGAAAAAATATCCTCTGGTAAGAATTAAAAACAAAACAAAAAAAACAGATGGCCTGACTCCAGAGTCCACGCCCCACCATTTACCCTCCTCACCCCCAAACCCAGCATCTGTATCAAACTATCCTTCAGATACCAGATATGGTTCTTAATTCAAACCATGGAAATTTTGATTTCTTGTGGGCTAAGGACATTATAAAATTTAGAATAGTCCTCCCAGTGAGCCAGTACTCATTTCTAAGTATGAAGATACCATATTTCAAAGGTATTTCATAAAATAACCATTAGAACAGGCACAACCATGTTAAATAGCAGTGTCGAAAACAACTTTAGCTCTTTGTTTTCTTTCTTTCAAGAAAGAGATTAAAAGTCATGCTCAGACTATCTGGGTCAGACAGTAGGATAACTTACTTCTATTTCTAGAATCAAGATAAAGACAGAAGATAGAATTACCACAAAGAACTTTGGGTATAAATCCATACACAGACATAGAAAATAGAGACACTGTGGAAGCTTGTTTAGATCAGAGACCCCACAAATACACGATTGCTACCTTTTATTGGAATGGGCAAAGTCTAGAAATGGACAGCCCCAAAGGCTTAGAATTTGTAATGGGTAAAGCCTAGAAAGGGGGTGAGCCCACAATCAACTTGGAACATAGCCATTGTAATAGCACATTTTATCTGATGTCTCCCCAAGTTACAGAGGGGAAGTGACTGTGAATCCTCAGGAAGGAAATAAGTTTAAGTGGCCAATGACAGTTTTAAACCAAGGTCCATGGCATGTTATAATATAATTTACTAAATTGTTCTGGCAGCCTAGCAGTTTTGAGGAGGTGGGTTGGGGATCACACACACACACACACACACACACACTACAATTGTATTATTGCCCAGGGAAAACAGGCCCATTAAGAAAGTGCAACTTCTGCTCTCTGGGTTAATGCTGCTGCACCAAAGGCTTAAGGCTTTGGTTTTTGCTTTTGTACTTTAACAAAATATATATTGCTTTTAAAAAATTTATAACAACTTTTTTGAGATTTAATTTACATACCATACAATTTATCCATTTAAATTATACAATTCAATGGTTTTTAGCATATTCAGAGAATTGTATAACCATTAGCACAAGTCAATTTTAGAACATTTTTTGTCATTCCATAAAGAAACCCCATACCCATTAGAAGTCACCTCCACTTCACCCCAACCCATCCAGCCCTAGGCAACCACTAATCTACTTTTTGTCTCATAGATCTGCCAGTTCTAGACAGTTCATATGAATGGAATGGCTTCTTTCACTCAGCATGATGTTTTCAAGGATCATCCATGTTGTATGGCCAAACGATATTCCATTGTATGGATATACTAAATTTTGTTTATCTGTTCATCAGTTGATGGATATTTGGATTGTCTCCACTTTGGGGCTGTAATAAATAATACTGTTATGAACATTTGTGTACTAGTTTTTGCGAGGAACCATGATCTCATTTTCCTTGCGTATATATCCCTAGGAGTGGAATTGCTGAGTCATATGGTAACTCTGTTTAACCTTTTAAGGAGCTGTCAGCCTGTTTTCCCAAAGGCTTAGTAAGGAAGTTTTACAGTGGTTTTTGTTTTGCCATCTCTTTGGATTTCCTAGGATCATACGCTGTATAACTTAGTCTAATTCTTTGCCTTGGAAGAGTTTTAAAGCAAGATTGATCAGGTGATCAGATTTAAAAAAAAAAAATACCTTTATTGATTTCAGAGAGAAGAAGGGAGAGGGGGAGAGAGGGATAGAAACATCAATGATGAGAAAGTCATTGATGGGGGGGTCTCCTGCACGCCCCAGACTGGAGATGGAGCCCACAGCCCGGGCATGTGCCCTGACCGGGAATCGAACTGCCATCTCCTGGATCCTAGGTTGATGCTCAACCGCTGAGCCACACCCAGCCGGGCAGGTGATCAGATTTTAATGATGAAA